GAGCAACAGACATTTCCAAAGCAGCACCAGGACTTCCCTGCATGGCTGCCACGTCTCCCACACAGAGCTCATCCATCAGCAGTGACAGGACAGTCACTTGCTGGGGGACAGACACTGACAGAGGGGAGCAGCTCTGGGACCAGCAGGGCCAGAGGATGGACCAGCATGGCACAGCAAGCCCGGGATCACTGATGGTGCAGGACACCCCCTGCCCAGGGACAGCCATGCTGGGGTGACCAGAAACACACATGTGCCCCAGCCAGGACCCTGCTCCACCTTGGGCAAGTTCAGCAGTGGGGGGGGGGGATCAGGACAGGCCGTGGAGCTGCTGCTCTTTAAGGTCAGCACAGCCTGGCCACTGCCACTGCTCTGGCTGCAGGGGAAATTTTGCAGAGACCCCCCAGCCCCTGCCTCCCCCTGCCCTGCTCTTGGGTACCTGCTGGTGGAGCCCCAGGCGCAGCGTCACCCCCTCACTCCCCTGCTCGTCGTTGCTCTCGGTGCCGTGGAGGTGTTTGCTGAACTTGGGGAGGGGGATGCTGGGCTTCCCGTCCGGGTTGAACATGTTGGCTGGGGCCAGCACTATGAAGGCGTTTGTGATCGGACCTGGATGGGACAAGAGGAAGGGACAGGTCAGACCCCCCCACCAGTGGGATGGTCTTTTGCCTGGCACCTGAGAGCAGCCAGGGGCCATGGGGGGGCACAGCCCGGCCCCCCCGCAGAGCCGCCCAGCAGCCGCGGCTCTCCCGGCTGCCTCCTGCAATGATCCATCACACACTCTCCTTTGGCAGAGCTAACGAGCGCCTTAATTACTGCATTTACCCACACAGGCTGCTGTTTTCTGTCAGCACCCTCTTCTGCCCCCCCCTTATGAACTCCTGCTCACTGGCAACCCCACACCACTGCCCCCACACCCCAAACCTCTCCCCATCAGACACAGCCACCCCTTGAAGCTCCTCAAAGCCACCCCCCCCTCCACCTGCAGCCCCTCCTCCAGCAGCTCGTGTGTGAGCAGAGCTGCTGTCACCACTAATCAATCCCTGACCATCCATCTTCCCCTGGCTGAGATCGACAGCACGGAGGGAAAGGTTAAATGGATCCAGATGCACCTGAGCAGGGACAGGCTGTGGTGGGAAAGGTGCAGGATGGGGGAGCACAGCAGCATGGGGCCACCCAAGGCTCAGTCTCTGCAGAGGAGATGGACAAAAGCACCTCTAGCAGGGACCAGGGCTCCCTGGCCATCAACTGCCTCTCCAGCTGGACCAGAGCCTGCTCTGCAGCCCGACCCTCCAGGATCCAAGGCTGGATTCCTGCAGGTTTAGCCCAGATGCTGCTCTTTGCTGTAGCAAACATTTGTTGTACTCCTGCTCCCTCCCTCACGACAAGACATTTGCTGCTGCCTGTGGAAGGATCCATTAGTGAGATTATCACTGCGGGCTCCCTGGCAGCTCCAGGAGCAATTTGCAAAGACAGGATGAGGAAGGTGGAGATGATAAGATCTTGGGAACAAGCCCACAGACCCCTAGAGCTGGTCACCATCCAGGTGAGGCCCCCCAGCCACCCTTGGGCCCCATCAGATGCACAACACATCCAAACCCCCCTATCAGCATAGCTCAGGGACCTGGCAGCAGGTAACACCCTCCCAGGGTGGGCAGAGGGACCTGGTTTAACCCGGGGAGGGATAAATAATCCAGGGATTGTCTGGAGGATCCATGGGATGCCCCTGCACAAGTGAGTCCTTGGGGACAGTCTGTGCCACAGGGAGCTTGCAGAGAAAAGGAACAGATATAAGGTTCCTTGTGGGGCAGGAACTGAGGCAAAGAGGGATCTTGGGGCAATGCTGACAGGAGAACCAGGGAGTGCTGGCTCACAGCCTCACCCTGAGGTCCCCTGTTCCCCTGGGAACAGTGCCAGCCACACCGGGGGACCCCCAGCAGCCCTGCCTTGCCTGGCAGAGTCACAGCTCGTTACCCAAGAGCCCAGTTTCTCAAGGTCCATCTGCCTGCACGTGCTCTGCCCCCGTCAAGGACAAGCAAACCTTGCAGGAGAAGCTGCTGCCTCTGCCCTGCCTGCGGAGCCACGCTCCACCGCCCCTGCTCTATTTGCAGCACCCAGATGGGGGAGGCAGCAGTTCCTGCCTTGCCCCCAGCTCCTCCCTCTGCCCCGCAGGCACAGGGGCCTCACTCTCCCAAGCACACCAGGCTGGAGGCTGCTGTCACATCAGACAAAGCTGTGCCATCCCTGTCCTGGGAAAGGAAAGGCTCAGGGAAGGCGCTGGAGGGGAGAGTGGGGCAGCAGCAGGTAACAGACCTTGTGTCACAGCTCAGAGGTAGTGAGAAAGGCCAAGGGGGACAGTGACCCACTGGGCACCAGAGCTGCAGGGAAGTGGCTGCTCCAGTGAGACAGGGTGGCTGGGACAGCAGAGCTGGGCACTGGTGGTGGGCTGCCCTGGATGGCAGCTCCAGAACCTGGGCTCAGACAAGGCACACCACAGCAGTGGGGTGGTCCTGGTGCCAGGGAAGCCAAATCCAAGCTGGCAGGATGAGGCAAGGCTGCAGAAAGCACCCACATCTCCTAAGCCCAGCTCCAGCAGCACCAGCAACCTGGTCCTGCCCCTCACAGGAAGGGTTCATGCCTATTTTCACTCCCCTGTGTCCATCTTTACTCCCTCGTGTTCACCCACGCTCCCCTGCAGCCCTGGGCAGGGTTCAGGTCCCAGCTGGCAGTGGGAGGTTGCCCCCCCTCCTCTGATGACTCACACAGCTCTGATTTTGGCTGCTCTCCCCCTCCCAGCACTGGAGCAAGGCAAGACCAGCAGGATGGGCACTGCAGTGGGTCCCCTGGCCACCAGAGCTGCAGGGAAGTGGCTGCTCCAGTGAGACAGGGTGGCTGGGACAGCAGAGCTGGGCACTGGTGGTGGGCTGCCCTGGATGGCAGCTCCAGAACCTGGGCTCAGACAAGGCACACCACAGCAGTGGGGTGGTCCTGGTGCCAGGGAAGCCAAATCCAAGCTGGCAGGATGAGGCAAGGCTGCAGAAAGCACCCACATCTCCTAAGCCCAGCTCCAGCAGCACCAGCAACCTGGTCCTGCCCCTCACAGGAAGGGTTCATGCCTATTTTCACTCCCCTGTGTCCATCTTTACTCCCTCGTGTTCACCCACGCTCCCCTGCAGCCCTGGGGAGGGTTCAGGTCCCAGCTGGCAGTGGGAGGTTGCCCCCCCTCCTCTGATGACTCACACAGCTCTGATTTTGGCTGCTCTCCCCCTCCCAGCACTGGAGCAAGGCAAGACCAGCAGGATGGGCACTGCAGTGGGTCCCCTTGGAGGAGGCAAGCAGGTCCCTGGGCTGCCAGCCACACCTGGGCAGCAGCTCACACCCCTGTCCAGAGGGTCCAACCTGCACCCCCAGCCCCGCAGGGAGGGTTTGGGCAGTGCTGCCAGAACCCCAGGGAGAGACTGGAGAGCACCACGGTCAGGTAAGAGCTGCACTGCTCACAGGGGGGCTGGACCCCCCTGCTGGCCCGAGCCCCCCCCCCATTGCTGGGCGGAGCCCAGGGTCGGTTTGTCCCAGGACACTGTTTATCTGGGATTCACTTCAGGTCTAATGAGCTCACAGGTACTGGCTGCTGGGGTCACAGTGACAGCCCCTTCTCCAGACACATTCCCCCCCTCCCACGGCCTCCCCAGGCGTTCGGGTGCATGTGGGGCAACTGCTCCCTGTGGAAAACAAGGAGGACTGTCCTGGATGTCCTCAGCGACGGGGTGAAATCCATGACTCACTCCCCGACAGAGCACAGGAGGGTTGTTAACAGACATGGGCAAGGTCAAAACATCCCTCCAGACAGCAAAGGCGTCCCTCTAATGCCTCTGCCCTCCCTCCAGCGTGAGGCAAGGAGCAGAGAAACCCTCAAGTGCCCAGGGCAGCGTCAGAGCAGCTGAAGTGAGACAGCAGCAGCCCTGGCAGCCCTGAGGAGGAAAGGATCCTGGAGATAAGGACGTGCCTACCTTTGTGATTCATGGTCTTCAGGCACTGCTTGCTCTGGATGTCCCACAGCCGCACGGTTTCGTCGTGCGAGCCCGAGAGCAGGAGGCTGCCATCCGTGGAGACAGACAGACACGTCACCTGGTTCCTGGAACGGGGAAGAGCAGGTTTAAACTCAGGATGACCCCAGGACTGACAGAAACTGGTGAGGGGGCAGATGGGGCAACAAAGGGCTTGGCAGGTATGTCTGGTCCCTCACCTGTGCCCTTTGAAGACCTTCCCGTTCTCCCGCTCTGTCTGGAAGGTCCGGTCTCTCTGGACTGGCTGCAGAAGTGGAGGAAGGAGAGAGAGAGAAGTTTAGATGCAGAAGACTGAAGCCAGCAGGTTCATCCCTGTGTCTGGAGGGGGCAGAGGAGAACACGGGAAGCCAGGCCCTCCCACACCCTGGCAGGTCAGGTCATGCAGGAGGGAGGTGTCAGTGGCTCAGGGTGCCCTGTCAGGACTCACCCAGGCACAGAGATCAACCTGGAAGATGGACCCGTCCATCCCACCACAGAACATGTGGTACTCGGAGAGGTCGAGGGTCACAGCCATGATCCCCACGTCGAAGAGAACGGAAAGCAGGAGCTCCCCAGAGGAGACTTCCCAGAGCTGGAGGGGGAGGGAACAGGACAATCAGGGGCTTCAGTGTCATGGGCAGGGCTGGATGGAGACACTGCTGCTCCTGGGGTGGGGCCACAGTTGGTACCAGAAATCGGGCAGGGCCACGGAACCCTTACAAGTTTCCCAGGCAGCTCTAAAGGAGCCCTTGACCCCACTGGGGACCATCTTGCCCCCAGGGCAGAGCCCTCGAAGGGCTCCAGGATGCTCCAGTCTCTGTCCTTGGGGACTAAAGGCCATCAGGGAGGGGGATCAGAGGAGCTGACCCAAACATTCCCAGAGCAGAGGGACTGCAGAGCAGGTTGAGGCCCAGCCCCGGGGCAGGTGCAGGGAAACTGCTGGGGTTTGGAGAGGAGAAGCCCATTAGGTCTGGCAGCTCTGAGTCATCACAGAGGCAGCCAAGAAATTCAGCTACTGCAGCCTGCCCTCCCTCCCCCCGGAGCTCTGCAGGGCCCCACTTTAACCCTCTGGGGACCAAGCCTTACCTTTGCTGTCTGGTCGAGGGAGGCAGTGGCAGCCCGTGCCAAGGGCCCCCCAAAGCCACAGCACAGGTCGGTGATGGGGAGGCTGTGCCGGGACCAGACGTGGCGGGGGTCAGGGATCTGGGAGGGCTCTGCCTGCAGCACACTGTGGGGAGAGCAGAGGGGTCACGAGGGTCTGCAGGAGCAGCACCAGGGCTGCCTGAGCAGAGAGGACACAGGGTGGCCCTGCTGCCCACCAGGACCAAGAGGGAGACAGGGGCTGTCAGGGATACTGAGGACAAGGGACACTGCTAAGCTCCCCGTGCCAGAGGGGACAGAGTCCTCAGCTGCCATCAGCAGGGAACACAGCCCACTGCACCAAGCAGGGAAGAGAAGTCAGAGCCATATGCCCCAGCTTGGTAAAAACAGAGGAGACACCAGGAAAAAGCTCCCTGGATAACAACAGCCCAGGGAAGGCACAGACTCATCACCAGTTTTACCACCAGCTTAGGCAGAGCTGATCCCACCTCTGAGACGTGGTGGCTGATCCCTTCTCCCCACAGTCCTCACCCAGATGGTCCCTGTCCCTGCGCCCAGACCTGCCCGTGGGCAGTGTTACCTGTAGAGGTTCCACACCAGGGCCAGGCAGTCCTTTGCCCCCGAGAGGAAGTGGCTGCTGTCATCAGTGAAGCAGAGGCACGTGAGGTCCTGGTAGTGTCGGTTCAGGATGGCCAGGAGGTTCCCATTGGAGACCTGGAGCAGGAAAAGGGAGGAGGGCACTCAGAAAGGAGCACTGAGATGGCCCAGACACCACAGGGCAGCTTGAAGAGGTCCTGCCCATGTCAACTCGGGAACCAAGTGATTCCAGGTCCATTTCTCTAGCCAGGGCACAAGCAAGCAGCACACATTCCCTGTTCACTGTTACATTGCTCTGATGGCCTCTTCCAGCCTCCCTGATCTAAGATGATGGCTGTGGGGGGTGACAAAAGCCACACTCAGGAAGAGACTGTCTGCCTGGGTGAATGGAAGCTTTAGGGTGGACAAGGAGCTCCCTAAACCCAAACCCTTTCTTGCTGAAAGGCAACACCTTGGCTGGGGAGAGAATGGGAGGGCAGGGAGGGAGCCCTGCATTGAAAAACAGAAATTACTCTCTCATTGTCTGAATTACACCTAAAAATTAAACCAAACTGCAGAGAATGAGCAGTTTCAGAGGGAAGGCACAAAACGAGGGCTCATGGGCTGCTCTCCAGCTCCCTGATGGTTCCCATGCAGATCCTCCAAGGTTCCCCGTGCCAGGACAGTGTTGTCACCAGCCCAGGCAGGGAGGTGGGGGCAGCAGGAGGGCCCCACTCTGCAGAGGAGCTGAGCAGCCCAGCCCAGAGCACCATGAGCGAGTAACTCCCACAAGCTGCTGTCCTCAGTCCCACACTCCTCACCAGGGCTTTTCTTCCAACATTGCCACTTTTAAAAGAAAAATCTGATTAATCAAGATAGAGTCCCCATGCCCCTCCTCGGGGCAGTGCAGGGCCCAGGCCAGCTGGAACAGACATGGCCCAGCAGAGCCCCCAGCTGTTCTGCAGTCCAGATAAGGTGGGCTCAGGGACACCCAGGGGGTTGGGGGCTCTTCCTGACTGAACAGGCCACGAATCTCAACACCCCCATCCCAAGCAGCTGCTCACCTCCCACAGGTAGATGCTCTCAGCAACTCCTGCCAAGATGTAGAGCCCGTTGGGAGAAGCTGTCAGGCAGGTCACGGGCCCGGGACAGATGATCTTCTGCTGGAGCTGGTCCTGAGGGCAGAGAGAACAGAGTGACCCTTGAGCAAGGGCCACAGCAGGGGAGAGGAACAAGGCCCTGGTTGAGCCCAGCCTGGCCCAGGGGCAGGAGGCTCGTGCAGGGTGTGAGCTGTGCCCTCCACCCCGGGGCCACAGAGGAAGACGATGTTGAACCAGAGTCCATGTGTGCAACCCCCATGGAACGGAGGGGGCTCAGGGGGGTCCCCGGGAGGGCTCTGTGGGGCATCGGACCGCGGGGGTGGGGGTCGCTATGGGGGGGAGTTTCCCACAGAGGGGAGGGAGAGAGGGGCCCTGGGGGGGTCTGGCCATAAAGAG